ATTTATTGACCGCACAGAAATGACAGCGGCATCATCAAGAGAACGTGTGCTTTGAGGTGTGTTTCCAAGAAGGGAAATACTTTGATCCTTTCTGTTCTGTTAGGGATAGAGAGATGTGACCACTGACTCTTCTACGAGTCAACAAGAGACTTTGCCACCTTGATCAAATCCATACTTAGTTAAAGTAGCCAAATTAGAATCCAGACAACTGCAAGGAATGACCAGGGAAGTTAAAGAGTGTGCCCTAGACCAAAAAAAAAAAAAAAAAAAGCAGAAGAAAGTCCTTTAATTGGTTCACCCCCAGAAAATCAGGCTGTACTTTTAGAGAAGTTAAAAGTAGAACTGACTATTTTGTCCACTTGTACTTTGCTGTGTCTGCTCCCCTTTGTTATTCATCCCCCTCATCTCTAAATTGTCTATGGCCTCATGGTCTAACCCCTCCAGAAAAAGAGCATTCAGAGGCTTTGTAGTCTTGGTACATATGCGTAGGGGACTTGCTGGCATGTCCTTTGAACTCAGGGTTCTTTCTCTTTGAGTGGAGTTGCTCTGTCCCAGGGGTGGGTGGAGTGGGAGGGCAAGAAGACAGGGAAAGGGTTTGTTCTCAATCTGCAAGTAGCCCAGGACTTATCACATCGCTTTCATGTCCATGAATGAAGGCCTCACCTTGGTTGGGCTTTCTCTGTGAGTTCTCCACATATCTTCTTTTTCTCTCTTTCCAAAAGACTCATTCTTGAGTCCTTGAACCATCCACCTTCAACCATAACGTGCTATTTATTTGTTTTCGTATGTTTAAGTAGTTGTACAAAGAGGTTTCAGCTCACCCTGTCAATTGATAAGGACAATGTGGGTTTTTTGGTTACGAATTTACTATTATTATAAAGGTGATGTACAGAGGGGTTGCTGTTTCAGGTTATGAGTGCGTTGTTGTTATTGTTTTGTGCCAGTCCTGGGCTTTGAACTCTGGGCATAGGTGTTGTTTCTAAGGTCCTTTTGCTCAAGGCTAGCACTCTACCACTTGAGCTACCGCACAACTTCCAGGTTTTCTGTGATCAATTGGAGATAAGAGTCTCTTTATCTGCCTGGGCTGGCTTTGAACTACAGTCCTCAGATCTCAATTTCCTGAGCAGCTAGGATTACAGGCGTGAGCCACCAGCACCAGGCTGTTTGTTTGTTTTTAAATAAACCAAGATCAATTTCATTCAAAAGAATAGGCCAAGCCAAGTGTTGTCGGCCTATAATCCTAGCTTCTCTAGAGGATGAGATCTGGCTACCATTTCCAAAATATTTAAATTTCTGCCATTCCCACTGAGAAAAGTGGCTCAGAGTTCAGGGACCAGATGGGAAATTCTACAACGAGGCTTACCCATTGACTTCTTTGTAAATAACTAGCTTATCAGAAAATTAAAGTTGTATAGCCTTTTCTTTGAAGACATCTTTGGAGGAGCTGAGAATGTAGGTACTTGTTAGCATGTTCCGGTACCTGGGCTCAATCCTCTGCACCAAAAGACAGCAGCAACAAACATTTCCAAAGTGAAGGAGTCTTTCTCTTTCTTTCTTTTTTCTGCCAGTTCTGGGCACTATCCCTGAGCTTCTTTTTTTGTGTAAGGTACTACTACTTGAGCCACAGTGCCACTCCCAGCCTTTTTTGTTTCTGTGGCACTGAGGAATCCCGGCTTCATGCATGATAGGCAAGCACTCTACCACCACCAAGCCACATTCCCAGCCCCGCCCCCCTTTTTGACATATAGTAATCTATCCCTAATCCCAGATTCTCTGGGATTTTCATAGCTTTTGTTCTCTAGATTGATTGGAACACTATTGAAGTTTAAAAGCCTAGAAAATTTTAACACTCTGATTCTAAAATATAGAAATAAAAAATACCCAAATTTATCTAGATTAGAATGTGTACTTCCCCCCAAAGCTCAGCCGCATTCAAGTTTTTTTTTTCCTCCCTTACCCCTAACCCCACTAGTTGGTTTGAACCCCTGTTGATTCCATATTCTTCTGCCAAATTTTAACAGGAAACAAACAGCCCTAGGGTATGTTTTCTGGATGCTTGGGCAATATTTAGCCTGTTTCTGTACTTTTCCTGCCCTTCTATCTCCTCCCCCCCCCCCCACCTTTTTAAACGGTTCTCTGGAGACTTGTTTACCAGGATTGAGTAGAGGTTTGGACAAGTTCATGGGAGCATGGTGCCCTCTGGTGGAGCTTTGTGAAATCACAAACGTTTTCCCCCAGAATGTGAGTGGGCCTTCCTGGAGAATGCCTTTCTGTTACATCGAATACATAATAATACAAAAGCCCTTTCCCTTCTTCCCTTCCTCTCTCACTTCATTTAAGACTCACGTCCTTCTCCACTGCCATTAAGAAGTCACTATGGGGGGCTGGGAAGGTGGCTCAGTGGTAGAGTGTTTGCCTCCTAAGTGTAAGTCCTTGGTTTGATTCCTCAGCACCACATAAGAAAAAGCCAGAAGTGGCGCTGTGGCTCAAGTGGTAGAGCGCTAACCTTGAGCTGAAGAGCTGAGGGACAGTGCCCAGGCCCAGAGTTCAAGCCCCAAGACCGACAAAAAAAAAGTCACTATGGTGCAGAAACAGGCTTGAGTCAGACTCACCTACACAAAATACTGCCTTCTCTCGCCTCGAGCCAAGGATCTTCTGGAGCCTCAGTCTTATAGAAATGAATTTGACTACTATAAAGACCAACAAAGAGCAAACAATTTGGAATTGGGTTGAAGGGTTTTACTACCCCTCCCACCCCAAGAATGAGGAAGAGCTGGGGTCATTACTAAGGAGATAGATGACAAGATTTAGAATCGTTGTTGGCAACGTCCAGAGCTCCTCAGACTTCCCAGCCTGCTCTGCAGCACATTTAAGAGTAGGGGGAATATGGTTTTAGTAAGCTTCATTTGTGCCACATAGTTGGAATGTACATAAGAAATTACGTAGCATGATTATGACAAAGTCTTTACCCTTTAGGCACCTACGCATTCATTGGTGAGGAAGAACTACCCTAAGGAAAATGATTTCTTATTTATTTATTTTTTGGGGTCCGGTTGTGGGGCCTGAACTCTGGGCTTGGGCACTGTCCCTCAGCTCTTCAGCTCAAGGCTACCACTCTACCTCTTGAGCCACAGCACCACTTCTGGCTTTTTTCTTTTTGCTTATGTGGTGCTGAGGAATCGAACCCAGGGCCTCAGGCAGGGCCTCAGGCATGCAAGGCACGCGCTCTACCACTGAGCCATCTTCCCAGCCCCAAGGAAAGTGATTTCTAACACAGAACAAAGCCAAGTGAAATGGCTGTACAGAAGAAAAACAACAATAACAAGGTAGATTTAGTATAAGTGCCAGAGAGCTGTAGAGCAAAGCTGTCATTTGGAGTTCTTGGAGAAGGCCGCCTTGGGGTAGGGTGGAGGTGAGTTTCATTCTGGGTGGAAATGGGATTGTCAGATGGCTTTCTATGAAGTGCAAGGGAGGAAATTTGCAAAACTCCAAGGACAGAATTTAATAAGTTACAAGTATAACCGTTATTTCGTAATGGTGAAGTAAAGAGCTTTAGCTACAGTGAAAGAAATAAATGTAAAGTTGGAGGGGAAAATCCCAAGTTTAAATCCTATAGAAACTTGAATTATATAACCTGTGTGTGTACGTGTTCACGTGCACATGCACACATGGACGTTATTACTAGAGCATGAACTCAGAGCCTCATGCTCTCACTTGGATTTTTTCTGCTCAGAGGTAGCACTCCGCCTCTTAAGCCACTGCTCCACTGACATCTCTTTGGTGGTTAATGGGAGACAAGGGTCTCACTGACTTTTCTGCCCAGGCTAGCTTTGAACATAGTCCTCAGATTTCAGCCTCTGGGTAGCTAGAATTGTAGGCATGAGCCATCAGTACATAGCAAAACTCATTATTTTCTTCAGGTCACTATATGTAAAATGTGAAAGAAAGCCACACCTTAAAAGTTGGGAATGGGAAAGGGAAAGTAAATAGATTGATTATATACTGTTACACCACCTCCATGTGGCAGCACCATTTTGATAAACAGAGTATCCCTAAGATCAGGATGAGATTTGAATGAGTCCTGTTTGTTGTTGTTGTTGTTGGTTGTAGGGGTTGAATTCTGGGCCTGGACTCTTTCCCACAGCTCTTCAGCTCAAGGTGAAGACTCTACCACTTGAGCCACAGCACCACTTCTGGTTTTCTGATGGTTTATTGGAGATAAGAGTCTCAGGGACTTTCCTGCCCAGGCTGGCTTTGAACCTCGATCCTCAGATCTCAGCCTCCTGAGTAGCTAGGATTACAGGCATGAGCCACCAGTCCTGACACAAGTCCTATTTTGAGCTATGAGAATTTATTCTCTCAAGTAAAGGCACTCTCTGCTGGCTGGAGAAAGAGCCATAACCTTGTGACTGCTAGACTTTCTCAGACTTCCTGCCATTCTGTTGCCTCCTCTTCCTCCTCAGCATTGTTTGAACACGAATCTATTCTCCTGGCCTTCTTCACTCCAGTTCTCTTTTCCGGCCTCGTTCTCACCTCCTCTGCAGGGAGGGGAAGCACACCAGTAGATCTTGGGTCATTATCTTCTCTGAGGAACAACAAAGGTGTAAAACAAGCAGCTGAGAAAAACTTCATAGGATGATGGGTGGAGTAGGCTCTGTCTCAGGGTAAGCTCTTTTGGTGTGTGTATGGTGTGTGTGTGTGTGTGTGTGTGTGTGTGTGTGTGTGTGTGTGTGTGTGTGTGTGTGTTATAACGAAGTATTCTGTGTGTGTGGTTGTTATTGTTGTTGTTGTGGGGCTTGAACTCAGGGCCTGGGCACTTTCTCTGAGCTTTTCAGTTCAATGCTAGTGCTCTACTACTTTGAGCCACAGCGCCACTTCTAGTTTTCTGGTGGTTAATTAGAGACAAGAGTCTTCTGGACTTCCCAGCTTGGGTTGGCTTCCTCAGATCTCAGCCTCCTAAGTAGCTAGGGTTACAGGTGTGAGCCACCAGCGCCCAGCTCTCAGGGTGAGCTTTTGGAAAGGAGAGAAGGGAAGCTGGGTCTTCTCTCTGGCTGCACTACTTCCTGCATTAGCCTACAGAAGAGTTCTGGAGTGCTCTTATGATATGGCGCTTCTTTGGACCCTGTCATCTTCAAACTGGGACTGTAATGATAATGCCAAAAAGAAAAGAAGGCGGCCAGGTGCCCATGGCTCACGCCTGTAATCCTAGCTACTCAGGAGGCTGAGATCTGAGGGTCATGGTTCAAAGCCAACCCAGGCAGGAAAGTCCCTGAGACTCTTGTCTCCAATAAACCACCAGAAAAACCAGAAGTGGTACTGTGGCTCAAGTGATAGAACCCTCGCCTTAAGCTGAAGAGCTTAGGGACAGCGCCCAGGCACAGAGTTCAAGCCCCACAATTAACACAGGAGGAGGAGGAGGAGGAGGAAGGAGGAGGAGGTGCAGCGGCAGCAGCAGCACCAAGATGAGCAGAGAATGAACTTGTAGCTCCATCCCTGATGAGCCCTGTGTTAGGTTTTTATTATTTATTTATTTTTTGGGGTCTGGTCATGGGGCCTGAACTCTGGGCCTGGGCGGTGTCCCTCAGCTCTTCAGCTCAAGGCTAGCGCTCTACCACTTGAGCCACAGCCCCACTTCTGGCTTTTTTTTTTTTTTTCTGCTTATGTGGTGCTGAGGAATTGATCCCAGGGCCTCATGCATGCAAGGCAAGTGCTCTACCACTGAGCCACTATCCCAGCCCTGTGTTAGGTTTTTTAAAGAGAGGTTGCTGAGTAAGAACCACACCACGAACGTGGTATTCAAGTAATAGGCAGGTTTATTCATCGCTCTGGCTGGCACCAGGCCATGTTGGCTGGGAAAGAGACCTGGGGAAAAAGAGCATCTGGCCCTGGGCTAGGCCTTATCTAGGGTAGTGGCAGGGAAAGGTGTGGCCACATCGAATCCAGATGTGACCTCAGCAGATGCAGATGTGACCTCTTCCAGGTGTGCCAGTTGCCTAGGTAACTCAGGTACTGGGCAGAGACTTTGCTGCGAGGAGAGCGGAGTCTGCTCGCCAACCAGGAGCGGAACTTACACCTGAATGAGGGATGCCAGCAGCAGCAGCAGGAGGGAGTAGCATCCTAGGACCACACGCTTCTGGGGCAGTACATTCTTGCTGATGACATCTACAAAGCCAATGAGAGTGAGGAGCGTGAACATGGAGAACTGTTGCCATTGTTATTGTTGTTGGGTTTGTTTGTTTCTGGTCCTTAAACTCTGGCTCTGTCCCTGAGCTTCTTTGTGCTCAATGCTAGTTTTCTACCACTTGAGCCATAGCACACTTCTGGCTTTTTTTCTGAGTAGTTTATTGGAGATAAGAGTCTCAGGGACTTTCTTGCCCAGGCTGACTTCAGATCACGTTCCTCAGATCTCAGTCTCCTGAGTAGCTAGGATTACAGATGTGAGTCACAGGTGCCTGGCAGTGCTACCATTGTTTAGGGTATAGAAACATTGGTGGCTGTTCATCCAGGGGAGATTTCCCATAGCCTGGCCCATCTTTCCTTATATATGGGAAGGCCTGAAGGGTACAGGAGGAAGCCACTGAATATCATGACTTTAGAAACCACTGTTGCCTGATACAGTCCATATAAGGCCAGAAACAGGCCAGGGTATACCTGACCAATAAAGGTTGCCATTGATCTATTGAAGTAGAGAAGCACAAAACTCAGTCACAGCTACAAGTGGGCTTTGGAAAGAATCACTTCCCATCTAATTTTATCACTCTCCCCACCCACTGCTCCCCCACAGAGAGGAAACATTTCTTGAGACAAACCTACACATTTGCAGAAGATGGCTTCATTGTTCTATTCCATTCCGGAGCATTGGGAAGTACACACGCTTTTCCAAGGCTTCCTTTCTACAGCCCCCAAAACATGCTAGTCATCCTTGTTTCTGTCTCCTACAGACCTTCCCTGTCCTTTGCAGTACTTACTCAGAGAAGGAAGAGAAGGAAATGGAGTTGGAGTTGGGGGTCATTATTATATCCAAAGAAAAGCTGAGTACTCATACAGATTCCTGAGTATCCTTAGAACTTCTCAGGCAAAATGCTGGTCTAACTGTGAAGTCAAATGTCTTCTGTATGCTGATCTACACACATTTGGACATAGGACTATATAATGCATACTTAGCATCGATCTGACTTTTTTATTTTGTGTTAGACACATCTTGATTAGGACCACGAAAGGGCCTTTTACCTCCTCTCTACCTCCCAAATTCCTCCAATAGCCAACACCATCATTTTGCCATCTTTCCTGGCTTCTAGATGAATCTTCAAAGTCATCTTTTGAAATTGATTTAAGGGTTGTGGTAGGTTTGCAGGGTACTGGCAGTACTAAGCTTGAACCATGTTTCTCACAAATCCCTTCTCTATGTGGCTACAAGCTAAGGTTGGCCACAAATGATTTTTTTTTTCAGTCCTTGGTCTTGAACTCAGGTCCTGGGCATTTCCTTGAGTTTCTTTATGCTCAAGGCTAGTGCTCTGTCACTTGAGCCATAGCACCACTTCTGGCTTTTTCTGAGTAGTTTATTGGAGATTAGAATCTCATACACTTTTCTGCCCAGGCTGGCTTCGAACCACGATTCCCAGATGTCAGCTTCCTGAGTATCTGGGATTACAGGCGTGAGCCACCGACATCCAGCCACAGTGAAATTTTATATATATATATATACACACACATATATATAATATAACATATATATGATATCGAAAAGATACTGTACAGAGGGGTTACAGTTACATGAGTAAGGTAATGAGTCCATTTCCTATCAAGCATTGTTACCCACTCCTTTGCTTTTCCCCTACCATCCCTTTCCTCTTCACCTCCCCATCTCATCCTCCCTCCCAAAGTTGTAAAGTTATTTTTAACATAGTGTCTTGACAAGTGAAATTTTTATGAGAGTCTAAAGGTAGAAGTGAAGAGCAATCTAAGTACCTTCTGAAGGTACTTAGCTCTTAATTTCTATTAGTGATCAGCCAGCTTGCATCCAGATGTGCACAGCCATCAGCCTCTAGCATCCCCCAGTTTTTCTTATTATGAAGATGACCAGATATTTTTGAAGTTTTCCCATCATTGAAGTATATGGTGGTAAGAAACAGGTGGTAGACATGTGGTAGCCAGGCGCTGGTGGCTCACACCTGTAATCCTAGCTACTCAAGAGGCTGAGATCTGGGCTGGGAAGGTGGCTGGGTGGTAGAGTGTTTGCCTTGCATGCATGAGGTCCTGGGTTCGATTCCTCAGCACCACATAAGTAGAAAAAGCCAGAAATGGCACTGTGCTCAAGTGGTAGAGCACTCACCTTAAGCTGAAGAGCACAAGGACAGTGCCCAGGCCCAGAGTTCAAGCCCAATGGCTGACAAAAAAATAAAAGAGAGAGGGAAAAAGAGGGAGAAAGGGAGGGAGAGATAAGGAGAAAGGGGGAGAAAGAGAGAGAGAGAGAGAGGGTGAGTGGAGAGAGAGGGAGATCGTCATGGGTCCTAGTTTGTCTTGGTAGGTTTCAGTTTGTCCTTGCTCTTCACGGTTCACAGTTTCATGACATAATTTCCTCCTTCCCACTGAACTGTTGACCTGAAATAGCTCCAGGACCACCCCATAGCTGGGAGGTAGCAGGCTTTCATAGACTCCCATCGGATCCCATCTGCAAAAGCCTGATTTTTATCAGAAATCCATATTCCAGGTTACTTTTTCTATATTCCTCTGTTTCTATGATCCATCCTTAATGCAAGAAATTAGGTTAAATATAGTTACCACTGAGAGCAGTAATCTTAGTGAGATGATATTGGTCTTTTTCTTTTTTTTTCTTTTCTTTTTTTCTCCCCTTCTTTCCTTCCTTCCTTCCTTTCCAGTACTGGGCCTTGCATTCTCCTTTAGCTCAACTGCTCAAGGTTGATACCCTACCACTTACTTGAGCCACAACTTTATTTCCGGCTCTTGAGTAGTTTATTGGAGGTAAGACTCTCACAGACTTTTCTTCCTAAACTGCCTCCCAACCAACCAGGATCCTCAGATCTCAGCCCTGAGTATCTAGGATTACAGGCAAGAGACACCAGCACCCAGGTCACATGAATGTAAATGCTTTTAATACACCAAACCTATAGAACACTAGAGCAAGCCACAAAATACCCTACAGGCAATCTTTGTCTGCTCTTAGGATTTCCTGACTTTCAGCTGTTGTCCACCCAGTTGGAAGAGAATCATATGGTGTGTTCCTAGCCATGCTATGGAATATGATTGTTTGGGCACCATCATAAATTTGTAGGGAAAACCATCAAAAGTCAGAACTTTCTCTCTCTCTCTCACTCTCTCACTCTCTCTTTCTCTCTTTCTTTCTTTCTCTCTCTCATCAGTCATGGAGCTTGAACTCTGGGGCTGAACACTGTTCCTCAGCGCTTCAGCTCAAGGCGAGCACTCTACCACTTGAGCCACAGCACCACTTCTAGTTTTCTGGTGGTTTATTGGAGATAAGAGTTTCATGGGTTTCCTGACCGGGTTGACTTTGAACTTCGATCCTCAGATCTCAGCCTCCTGAGTAGCTAGGATTACAGGCATGAGCCACCAGAGCCCGCTAGAACTTTATCTCAAGTTAGCTTATTGCCAAGAGAGTTAAACATCTCCCTTTATCCTTAAGAACTCCAAATTTCAGATTGCTTCTGGCTACTGAGAAATTAGATAAAGTTCAGGAATTGTGCTCAAACACAATTTGGAAAAAACAATATTCCATTTTGCTTTCTAGAAGACTCTACTTTGTGTATTTAAATTTAGGTGTTTTTAGTGTATAGTCAGTGATAACAAATCAGGGAAACCACCTAAGCCAAAGGAACATTAAAAAAAAAACCAACAACAGAATACCTGTGATCCAATCCCTGGCAATGGCCACTACCTGACACAGGTTTACAAAGGTTATAAGGAAGTAGAAAACATATTTATTGGAAATCTGAATTTGAATTTTATAGTTCCAGTTCTCTCCTGATTTGCTAAATGGCATACCCTTTCCTAAAATTATAAATGTGGTAGACTTAATTTCCTAATGTGAAAATGAGGAGGCATGGACAAATTTGTCACATATGTAAATTTGGGACTGGAGAGAGTCTCTCCAGAAGTTGGAGGACGAAAGAGTCCCACGTGTAAATTCGTTACACAGAAGTGAATAAATTTATCTTTCTATTTCCGCCTTCTGGTGAATAATCAAACTCCTTGGAAATCACTGGAGGTGGAGTGCTCAGAAGGAGTCAATCCAAAGAAGGACCTGACAGTAACCGTTTTGAGGTTAATGCTCTGGGAGACATAGAGGAGCCATAACTCTTCTAAGAATCAGAGGGCCAGGCCACGTGGGCCATGTCCTGAGTCCTCAAAGCTGTGTATGTTCACTCTTAGTATTGCTTTTAGTCCTCCAGGGCTGTGGTCCACATGTGGTACAGCTATCAGAGATTACTCCTGTTACACACTTATTTCCCCAGCTGTATCTCACCCATGGTCAGAGGAGGAAGGAGAAAGCAGCACAGACCCAATAGCAGCAGGAGATTGAAAGTGGCTGAAGCCCCCACCTGGGTGACCAGGCCCCCATCTTGGCCAACCAGCAAGGATACATGTTGTTTATTAACACATGAGCATCCCAATTTAGGACTTTGAAGATAGCAATCGCCCATCATAAACCAGACTCTGCCCATAGTAGCCCAAAGGAAAGCCAAGGATGGTGAATGATTAGCAGAACTGTCAGACAGCTCCAGAGTCTGGGGACACAGAGTACCTGTAAAGCTGTTTGATGAAGAAACTCAGCTTGACCACAGAAGTCTGTGGCGGTCTATCCTTCAGGTCCCCACTGCTCCACAGTGAGAGTCTCCAGATCTAACCCCCACTATAGGGTACCCGCATCCCAGAGGTGGGGGGCAGTCTCAAATGACCAGTTCCATTTGTCCTACATCATACCACAGTAAGAAGATCCCTGGACATCCCCTAAACAAAAGTTTATGAACATCTGGGATCCTGCTGTGGGACTCAGGGTATGTGTAAAGAAGAATATGACAGCTCTTACCCTTGAAGAACTTAGTTGAAGCATGATTCTACACACACACACACACACACACACACACACACACAACACATAGACTATCTCTGTTCCACAGAAATCAAAGTCACTTATATAATTTTAAATATTTGCTGGGTGCAGGTGACTCACACCTGTAATCCTTGCTACTCAGGAGGCTGAGATCTGAAGATTGCTACTTAAAGCCAGCCTGGGCAGGAAAGTCCATAAGACTCTTTATCTCTAATTAACCACCAGAAAACCAGAAGTGGAACTGTGGCTCAAAGTGGTAGAGTGCTACTCTTAAGCAAAAGAACTCAGACAGCACCCTGAGTTCAAGTTCTGAGTTCAAGCCCATGACCAGCCAATAAAAAATAATAATTTTAGGGCTGGGAAAGTGGCTCAGAGTGCTTACCTTGCGTGCATGAGGCCCTGGGTTTGATTCTTCAGCACCACATAAACAGAAAAAGCCCGAAGTGGCACTGTGGCTCAAGTGGTAAGAGTGCTAGCCTTGAGCTGAAGAGCTGAGGGACAGCGCCCAGGCCCAGAGTTCAGGCCCCATAACTGACAAAAAAAAAGATTAAATAAAAAATAATAATTTTAAATAGATAACAGC